CATTTCGTGCCCAACCAGTTATTTCCTGCTAAGGAAACATCACAGTACAATTCTAAAAAATCGCATTTCGCTATGTCCATTAATTAATGCTCGTATGTGAATCTTCCTGATTGCTCTCGTTTTTTTTCAAATAAGCCATCATGAAGCCAATACTCCGTTGTCGTGGCGATTACTGATCCTGCTCTCGAAGCGCTCAACACTTCCACGTCCATGCATCACGATTTCGGAGTATACACGACTGTATCGCTTTCAAATTCGTCCTTTTCTTGCTTATAAAAATTTTGAACAAAACGAACTATAAAGGCAGGAATTTGATACCAGATTGAAAGAAATTGGTTTAGCGCGTTCTTGAGGATTACTGATTACAAGAAAGAAACTAATTGCGATTCACATAGATTTTGTGCTCCAGTTGCATGGAGACACGGTTCATGAAAGTGTTGAACACCGCTAAGCTACATGGACACAGAGTGATCCAACTAAACTACAGCACGCTCAGGTTGCTATAAAGGGATCTTTCAGTTTGCTTCAAAAACAAACATTTGCCAAGAATTTTCCATCCAGATGCTTATCTTCTCGTCCTGTCCACTAATTTTATCTTTTCACTGTAGCGACGCGATGAAAAGCTTAACGAAGGTTTCTCTTGGTGCTATACCTCCTATCACCGGAGATGGTAACAATGCCATGGATGGGGATGGACAGCGATCTGTGTGTGGTGTTGACATGAATTCGTTTGTACAGACACTATTACGATTACCATACTGAAAGCAATTCTACGCTACGAGAAGCATAACAGTTCGATAGAAAACGGTATCCCCAATACGGCATACTCGATGGCGTTCTAATAAACAACTTCGAGTTGTATGGAATACAGTGCAACCAATATAAAGTTAATGACCACTTTTAGCTTTAGACCAGAGTCTCTCAGCTCATAGAATCTTTGAAGATTTGGAATAGGAACCATGGAGACCTGCAAGTCCTTGTCTACAAGATATATGCTTTTTTATTGTACCAAAGTGAAATTACGGTCTTCTGAAGCCTACGACACATATTTTCATCGCATTTTTGTTACAAGGCTCTTGTTTCGAGCACAAATGGAATCGAATGAGCGGAAGTGAGTCTAATTGTGAACGATGATTCTTTAGTTTATAGTTTATATTTAAATATAACCCTGGTTGGGTTAGAAATTCCAAAAAGTGAGTTTAGTTGTAGATCTGAGATTTTTAATTCTGAACAGTTATAAAATCAAAAGAACACTGCACAATAACCACAGAACTGAACGGCGGACGAAAGTCTCCTGTATCAATATAAGAAGTTCTTAGCTTCCCATCCTTTCTACTAATTGAAAATTGTTGACATTCCTTGAAAAAATCATCTTTGGTGCAATGTTTTGATAAAACTCTGCGATAAGTAATATTTTGACTTCCTCCTTTTTTGTGAACCAGTTATCAATTATGATCAATAACTAGTAAAGGAAAAGTCCAACATAAACTAATCATTCAAGGTGCCAAGCATGATAATCGGCAACCGCTGAAGAAATCAATAAAAATTGTTGAACTTTAAGACGGTGAAATCTTTGAAAGTTCAATTTAGATTACCGAAAAATTCATGTTTGAAGGTGAAAAACCTGTTAGTCTACGCCCTTTTCACAAGGACTACTATTTTTTACCTCAATAACTGCCTAAATTTCATATTTTAACGGCACTATGTGAAATATAGCCAGGAGTGCTGAGATGAGAACAAAACATCCAAGCTTGGCTGTGAAGAACTCGGTGGTACCCTTTCGGTGACTCACTATCTTACACTATACCATCAAGGCCCTCGCTCTGCCTTTCTTTTATCAGGGTTTTAACCCATTCGGTGGCTATCAACACTCAAAGGAACCACTATCCATAACGAACAGAACAGACTGTACAACAACAGCCCTTTTTAGATAATACCCTGTAGGAATTGAATGAAGGAAGATGTTACTGAATCGTATGGCGAGAAAAGTGTGGCCCATATTTGGGTCGTATTTTCGTAAGTGGCTTAAAATCGCTCCTCTACTGAACACCAAATATAAGACAATGTAGAGGCATGGTGAAACACATGACGACAGCCCTTACCGATCGCAAGTTTAGAATTAGTCCTGTTAAGTGCGAGAAAAAATATTTTCACAGAAGTTAACACATGCGTGACCATATGGACACCATAGTGTCCACATAGTCTACGCCTAGATTGCGGCGCACACGATTCTTTGATTTTCGCTTTTCAAAACTTCAAAGCACCGTAGCAGTAATACTTTTTATCCAATTTCTTATTTATGGTCCAAAAGAGTGACCATTTCGGAAATTCAAATTTCCGAGTTTTTACTGACTATTGATCACTAAATAGAATCTGATTTAGACGTGCATCTCGATTTCTTGCCAATAGCACGACTGGGTGTCGGCCAGTTACGTGATGTTGGCTGCTGCCGTGAATTTAGCTGATAGATGCGTAAATATTGTAAGCAAATGATGAAGACAAAACCATGAGCTTAGTTATCAAAGCACTCGTCTTTCACTACAGCACGCAAAGAACAGTGGTAATACAACATAAGGGGGACCCATGTTTATCCTGGTTTCGACCATCAAAAAACGTTCATCCAAAGCAAGAGGAAGGACTGTTTAGTGAGAAAAATGAACGCAGTGGCAGTTCATAGTATTTTTGTACGAGTTATCACAATGAAAAAAAGAGATTTGAAATAACCATAAAAATAACTATGTAAACCAACACATATAGCGAGCAAATAACGAAATCAACTCGAAGTGCCTCGATAAATCGAGTCAGATTTGAGGAAAAAGTCTCGTCTAATTTCTATAGCTCAATTAAGACGAGGAAGGACTAAATGGAGAGTGAAGCGAGACAGAGGAAATGAGTCACAATGAGGATGACCATTGTCTCGAAAAGCTATTGCGAGACCAGTGGGAGAGTCTGCCACGTATGGCGTGTTGAACATGTCTATCATGTTACAATACATAACAACGTAGGAGTAGTGTAGTGAACATACGGCTGTATGAAGAGACAAAATCTTTCTTTACACTCGACACCGGTTTTCAACTGATAGGTGAGAATGAATAATTTTAGCAGCTCAAAGGATAGAAACACTTCCTGTATACTTATCGATCCTGTTGCCGTTCAAATGTCGCATGCGCCGCAGCGCAGTGGTTAGAGGTGCTCTTCGTCGCACACAACGCCCATAGTTCGATCTCGCTTTCATGGCTCACCAAGCTATCCATCGTTCTCGGGTCGATAGATAGGTACCGGCCTGGTGGTAGACTTGTCTGGAAGGATAAGCAGTACGGACTCGATGGGGCGGGAGACCACCGCGAATCATTCTAAGAGCCTAATATGCATTCAATCACCTCAGACAAAGTTAAGAATTAAACACGAATGCATGGTGCATCCCTCAAGGAATGATCAACAGCGATAGCTCTGTCCTTTTGATCTGCATCAGAGATACCACGGAATGTGTTTCATTGAAAGTTTCTAAATGTCATTTATTCAAGACGAAAAATCCGTCTCACATTCTTTTCTGCAGAACTTTAATTACTTAGTAGATCACTGAACATTCGGTAATATTTATCTTGAACGACGTCATACTAATTCGTGGACTCATCAAAGTTTGAATGGGAGAAATCCTTTGACTGTTATTTATTTGAGCTGTGGTTACTGGAATGTCCTTAACTTTCCTATTTCACACACCAAAAATCTGAGCGGTAATGAGCGACTTTCATTTCAGTTCCAGTTCTCAGAGTGAATTATAGTTGGCATAAAGTGGGGCGGTTGTTAAAAGTATGAAATAGAAACGCTTAAGTATGCAAAACACTTCCAAATGTTGGCAGTAATGTTTTCGTACTATGAACTATACTACCCTATATTATAATGGCGGATTTCGCCCATTACATCGTCCGTGAGCGGTCGGTTGATTATCTTACCTACTTTTGCTTTTGATTTCGGCCCGACATCATCACCGAATCAACAAGTAGGAAGCCCGGCCGAGGATCCGTCGCCGAAATCTATTCCCTGAAAGCGACAATTGAGGACATGAAAACGCCCTTGCAACGTTACCTCAGGAAACCAACGAATATCAAAGGTATAATCCGCGATATGCCATTTGGAATATGTCCTGGGGTCCGCACGACTAGTGAGGACGGACCGTCTAAGTATCTAAGTATCTAAGTTTGTAAATAGCATCATATACTGATGACCATAGAGCGAGTATAGACACGATTCTCCAAAAAATCTGTAATGCTGTCCGTCTTTCCTCAATCAAATTCATTTGAACTTCCACCACAAAACGTCTCAGCGTTTCATTGCTTTTCATACAAATTGTTGCTAAAAAATCAACTTTTTCTTAATTTGGGCATTGCTAATTAATCACATAATCCATGGTGATTGAGCGAAAGCACTAAGCTGATAAAAAACATTTATTTCCTCGGCCGACATCTTCACACGTTTCGTATTCTATGGAGCCCATTGTTGTGAGCCTATACTTCACAGTCGTTGAGCGCTTGTGGCATAGTGCTTGGAGACACAGACGCTCCACGATACACACGTAGTCGATCAATCGATGTCCAATGGTACGATTCCGTGCTTAAGGCTTACCAACCCTTCCATTTTTCCGGATTCGGTGAATTGTTACCAGACTTGTCGGAGAAGAAGTCATTCCTCAGCCACCACTCTTTCTTCAGTATCTCACTGTCATAGCTATCAGCCACCAACAGGCTTGGTTGAGTGTACACATATCGCTTTTCGAACCCAGTTAAACTGACATTCATTGTCCATATATATTACTCAAGATTCCTCATGTTTTAACTGCTCTTCTCGCAGTGTTGCGATGTTTCGAATATACCTAAGAGAATTGAGTGGTGAGCAAAAATTCGACCTCAGACGATATGTACTCACCCGACCAAACCTTCTAACCGTTGATAGGTGATAGCTATGATAGTGAGATATCGAAGAATGAGTGAGGGGTAAGCGTGGCCTCCGTGGTGTAGTGGTAGAACGTGCCCCCTGGTATGGGTGAAACGCGGGTTTAACTGCCGTCTGAGGCCGATTTTTGCTCACCACTTAGTTGCTTAAAGTATTGATAAGCTGTTAATCGTGGAGTTTGAAAGACTCATCAAAAATGTAAAGTATGAATGATCAAATAAGTATCGAATAAATACCATGTTTGTGATGCAGCGTGCACCTTTTACAGAATACCCAAAAGGCTAAAGGCTGAGAGTGGTGCACAGCGTAAACACTTTGCTTTGTTGGATTGGAAGAAACAAAAGTAGAGTCAGAGCTTACTCATAGAAATGAATTGTTATTTATAAATTAAGGATGTGAATTTAGCGATGTTCCCCTATCATTAGACTATTTATATTGCTTGGTAAACGGCATTTCCACACGGCAACATGGAATATACAGAAACTTATTCATTTGCACACAGAGGAAAGCCGCCAACAATCTCAGTTCACGGTAGCTGTGGTAATGCACTGGCCCTAGCTGAAGCGCTGAAGGATAAATACCGCCATAGACAACTATGCATTAGATTTCTGCGATTCTTCGTGTGCATTTAGTGTTTCGATGGTTGGTGATTTGAGATTTCTTTTTAATTATTAATAGTGCTGTCGTTTTAATTGTGCGATGTTTTATTCAACCAGCTTTCACTTCAATCACTACCAGTTCAAAAAAAAAGATGGCGTCAGAACGTTAGCCGCAATAAATTTTCGAAATAACTCTATCTGAGATTCGTAAAGCAAGACATCAAGCTAATTTCAATGTGATGTCATAACAAAACAGAATTGCTTCCTTTTCTTCTATATCTCAAAAGATTTTTTTCCGTCTACTACAAAGTACAGTGGAAAACTCACGTACTCGATGTTTGCTCATATCATTCAAATCCGTAAGTTTTTTTTTTGATAATTTTGAAATTCGATATACTTTGAGAGACTGTTCTAAACCGGTACATGTCCATTGTAAAGCGAAATATGAATATTCGACCCCGTTTGTTGGGCAAGAAGCTTTTATAGGAATGTGAGTGATCATTTGAAGGCTTGAATCTCTGGGTACAGCCTCACTTGACCGCTTTTCGAAAAAGGCCTTTGTTGACGTTCTTGTGGAAGAAATCTCTTATGTTTCACACACGCATTTTTCTCGCAATGCAGAGCTCTTTCTTCGGATTATCAGTATCCATTCGATAGAATAATGTTTTCTACTCCAACCTCTGCTTATTTTCTTGTAAAACCGTTTTTCTCTGCAGAGCAGCTGAGGAGATAAGTTGAATTTACATACACAAGCAAGTGGTCTTTGGTAAATTCACGGGCAGCTAAGTGAGGCGGCAAGGTGGGTTGACGCGATGGTCGGTCGATTTTCGAGCATATGAACGTGTAGAGGAAATTTCGTAGTATCTGAATCTCTTCGAATCACTATGGGAAGCAATAAAGGAGTCTGGCCTCCTGAATTCCACTAATGAGATAGTAGTGGTGACTGATTTTCTCCGTATTCATGGCAAAATAGAAGTATTTAAAGTCTTTTTGTAGGATAGTCATATGTTTCATTCACAGTTTTCATTCAAAGCGAAAAAACAACTCCTCATTGTATAACAAAAATCGCACTTTCATGATAGCGGTCGAAAACTGATAGGTCATCGCGGCAGCCCACCGTGCCGCCTGACCCCGCGGTCAGTGTTTTAGCCAAAAACCACGCCCTCGCGCATGCGAATTCTTATTCTGCCTGCTGCACTGCAAAGAAACGATCTATCCAGAAAATAAGCACAGCGTTCGAATCAGCAAATGTTACGCTATCGAATGGCTACACTAACAGTAAAAAAAAGTACCCTGTCCGGAGAGAAATATGCGTGCGTGTAACATAAGTTTATTTCCAACTTCACAGCGTTACAAAAGGGTCTTTCAAAAACCAGCCACGTACTGCTCAAGTCAGATATCTAAGCTTTGAAACCTTGCTAACATTCCTATGAAAAGTTTTTGTCCAGCAAATGCGGTGCAACATTCACTTGTTGCCTTACAATGGGCAAGAACCTTTAAGCCTTTTGGAGGCTTGGTATGTCAGTGGCTGACGTATGTTTCAGCGGTCTCGTCCACCTTGTCTAAGCCTCACTCCCCACTTGTTACTCCTCCTGATAGTAGCGAACGGGGAAACATATTAGGACCAAACAACGTGAAATCATGTCTCAACTTTTTTCCGGCAAACGGCTTGCGGCTGTCATTAAATATATTAATAAATTCTTTTCATTAACTGTTTTTTGTAAGCCTAAAAAGTAGTTGATTGAAAGACATATCACATTTCTATAACAAGGCTTTTGGAAAACAGTTGATTGTAAGCAATGCCCATCTAATTAATGACGGTAGCAAATCATCGACTGGAAATTGGTTGGACAATATTTCACGTTGCTACTTCCAACATGTTTCCACGTTCCTTACTATCATAGGGGTGACTGGCGAGGCGCGTTGCTCTGATGAAGCGGGCGAGACCGCCGAATTGTGCGCGAGCCGCTGAGATACCAAACCTTAATAAAGCTTGAAACAGTCCTTCAGAATATATTAAAGCTCTACAATGACGTTTTTGGAATAGTTAATTGAAAGGCGATCACAGATCGGACTGATTTTCTATAACTTTGGCATTACTCATCAAATGCATGATCTTTGTTAAATGAACCTGTAGCATGATGCTGTAAAAACAATTTTACTCAACCGACGTTTTGATGCTTTTTATCTTCCTTGGAGCCGATTTTGAATTGATTACCCACAGTCGCTCGTCCTCGTTGTGGTCTTTGTCCTTGTTGTTAATCGAGTCGAATTTTCTTCGCTGGAACACCGCCCAAATAAAACCTCGCTTGGCGATGACTTTATACGGGGCGATTGTTGATGACAGTAATGTCCAGTGAAATTATTTGTTCTCAGTATACACAATCCATCCTGCAGCAGTCAGTATTATTATTGACTGACATAAATATATGATAATTACAATACGAACGACCGTGAGCATTTGATACGAATCAACGGCCTGAAGTAAAAGAAATGCCCCGAAATGTTGATAAAGCATATTTGTTTTTTAACAATTCCGTGCTACAGGTTCAATCAACGAAATTTGCATCCGCTCGTTGATCGGCAGTAGCAACTTCAAGAATTTGGATGGCAGCCTCAACATTCGATTTTTCTGAAAGATAAAAGGAATTTAGTTATGATAAAAAACATATTGATGAATGAGTGGTGAGTGAGCGGTGACGTCGGTGGTGTAGTGGTAGCGCTCGTATTCGCGATTGATGAATGTGGGCTCAACTCCCGTCTGAGTTCGAATTTTTGCTTATCACTGAATTCTTTTAAAATATTTTAGGAGCAAAGAACAAGTGTTTCTGATATCGCAGAGATACATGTATCACATTTATTACACCTATTATCATCTGCATCTAGGGAAAAAATGGACTCACACTTGTCATTTTCACGTGTTGGATCTATACACTGAGCTCTATTCCAAACATACGAGCATTATGTTCGTGAGATGAACCTGTAGGTAGAATGGGCTAACAAGGGACTCTTCGCAATGTTTTTGTTGGCGGCTTGACATACTAACTGGCATTCAATTACCATTGTCGAGTTTTTCATGAGCGAATTTCGTATTTATTCGTTAGTGGCATTCTCAGACTTTTACCAATGTAATTTCAGTTCACTTGAGTGGCAGGCGATGATAAAGATGGTCATAAACATGTATGTGTGCAAACTCATAGCATAAGTGTGACTGAATATAAATGTTAATCTGACGTTTTGAAGACAAAGCACCCATTCCCTTCCACTTGCATCCCATCGTGACTACATGGTTGGTTTTGATTTGTGTCCAATTTCCTATACGCCATCTGGACGTGCGCCACGTGACCTTTCAAATAATCGGTCTCGTAAAACATCATTTTGCATCCCCAAAGTCTAAGTAAAACACGTATGACCTTGTAACAAAGTGTTTTAATTTTCTTACTCATCTTTGAACGATCGTTTAAATTGAGCATGTCAGTCTCTAATTAGTTTACAGCGAATTCACCAACCATTAGGAGCTCCAAATGTGATTCATATTTGTTCTAATATCAAGAATAGGAACTCTGACAACTCAAATACACATAATAATAATTAGTAGTTACTCTATCGGAATACCTGTTCAGACCATTGCGCTCGAGTGGTGCTCTCATGATGCCGAACTATGATATAAAGAAGGATCATTTCCGTGATAGGCTTCATAAGCTGAACCAAATTCGATTTCGCTCTGGAGCCTCAGCAAACAATAAGGGCGTGAAAGCAGTAAATGACTAACACCGTTTTTTGAAGCGATTACTCTCAAATTGAGAAATTTCGTTCATATTCGTAAAATCAGTAATCTTTGTCCCTTTTAGCAAAACAAGTGTAGGGATACAAAGCTTCGGGAAATTCATTACAAGTGGAAATGATCTTGGTTCGATTTGTGTTCTAAGCTCAAGCAGAATTGACGAAGTCTTCCTCAAGATGACACAGAGTAAAATTACAATGGTAGACCACATATACTACTGAAACGTAGGAGAGAAAACGTTTTCACTATCACAAAAGCAATTTGATCTCCAATCTCTGTGATAAGTTCATTTCTTAAGAGCTAAGTTTTCTTATAAACTCTTTTGAGGTGTAAAGAAATCTTTTCCTCTCGTGTGGCCGGGAAGTTTCGCGACATACTCTCCGAATACTTTGCGCATAGATGCTTCAGTTATTGTTTTCATGTAAACATCATACGTGATAACAAAAATGATAAAAAGTGTTTTGTGCCTACCATCACCAACATGTCTCTCAGATGCATCACGAAGTCACTGAAGCCATGCCCACGCTGCACTTTTGCCTCCTGTTCAAATGCACTATCGACCGTCTTTTGCAAATATTTCTACATTGGAACTCAAATTCACATTCGTTTGAGTCGAATCTTCCCCTGGGCACTGCTCAAATGAGAAACGTCACACAGCGATGTCTTGGACCCAGGTCGAGTGTTAATGATACTGATTGTCCGCTGATATGACTTGTTTTTCAACGGACAAATCATCCTT